AAATGCCATGTCCTCAAAGAACTTGTTGTTAACAGGGAAGATCTTTTGTTCCCCTCCAGAAGTTCCAGAGCTACACATATCAACAATGTTACAAGCATATCACAATTGAGTTATTTTTAAGAAAAAATAGCGAGGTCCAGTATAAATATATAAATTTCGCTTTGACAGAGTTGGATTTCTTGAATTGGACATTAAAAATAATACCTCAAGAGGAATCCAGTTATGGGTTTTCCAGAAATGACATTTGAAGGTTCTCCATTTGCCACACGTTGGATATAAGGCTTAACATCATCATAGCTTATGACCGGTACGTTCTTCTTGAATAACTCTTTATCAGAGCTTCCATGGAGGTAGCGATAGAGATACTCTGTGTTAGCATTAAGTGTAAGTATCTCCTTTAGAACATCATCTTGTATTTGCTTCGCATTTGATGTTAACTTCATTAGATCCATCAGACAGGAGTTTATACTTAAGTTTAATTTTGATATCCTAATCACCTCAAATCAAAGGGCTTATTTATACACGAAATTGTAAATGCGTGGGAATGATTTGATTTGTTTAATAGATTATTATAATTAAAGGTACGCTTGTTTAAAATTTAAAATAATTGAGAATATGGGATCGAATCTTACACGCAGATCTTAATTGTTTTGAAGCTTCTGACATATCCATGTTTTTTTTTTCTTTCTGGTCTCAAAGTTTTTTAAAAATGCAAATTTCAAATCATGCGGATATCTTATATAGTACTATATTTTCCAATTGTTGATAGCAGTGCGCGTTAAACAACGATTAGTTCCACATTGGCCACTATACCAAATCATTATGATTCACAGATAAGGTTGATACTTTAAATCAGTTGTGTATATGTATTTTTATGAAAATGGCTGAGGAAAAATGTGCGTTAATCAAACAATGATTAATTTCATCTTCTTGGTGATATAGTTCTTTTAAAAAAGTAGGGTACAGAGTATCTCCAATTCTCCACCAAATCAGATGATTTTTAATAATAAAAAAATTAGATGATTTTAACACTGGTAATCCACCAAATCAGATGATTATTTCCAATTGTTTATCTTTAATCTTACCAGAATGCTTAAGGATAAGTGAGCGTTAAACAATGACCAGGTCCATCTTGGCGGCGGTATAAATCCTTTTAATAATTACTCCACAAGATATCTTTATATTTTATTACCAAATCATATGATTGACAGAAATTTGTTTTGATACGAAATCATCTGATATTTTAATCTAATATCTAACTATTATTTCTAAAGTGATTTTTCTACATCAGAACTCTCACTTTGAAGGTTATAGTGGTTAATAAAATTATAATATCAAATAATCAAAAAATAAAGTAATTTAAATTTTATTTAATTATATAAATGATTAATAATAAAATATTATCCAAAATTTAAAACATATTTTGAAATTTAAAATTAGTTCCTCTATATATTATCACTATCTCAAAATATCTATTAGTAAAAAGTTACACATTCAAAAACATAAAATACAAATTAAACCATTTTCTAATTTTTAAAAGTTATAAAAAGAATATTGCATGACTTTAAAATTTTATTTATTTATAATTAATATGGTATATAATTAAACTTTCACAAACTTTTTATTACATTAAAATTTTGAAGTGAAATCATAAATAATATTTTATTATTATAATCTATTTATTAATAATGCATGTATTAACATGTTATTATGAAATGCTTAGACCCACATGTACGGACAAAAAATCTAGTTAAATATTAAAATATAATAAAAGATAAATTACAAAAACCAAGTAAATTTCTTAAAAGCAAACCCTAATATTAAATTTAATTTTTTATTTACGTAATATAAAACAGAAGTTATGACTTCTTTAATGTGTGCTTTATTTTTTTTTTAATTTGGACAATCTTTAGAATAATTATTAAATTTTACATTACGTAATTCTAATATCTTTTCATATCTTTAATTTCTAATTGGAAAAAAATCAATATTTTTATATGGAAATTCTAACAAAATATTTTTAATTTCTTTTATAATCTTTTTAAAATGTATTTTCAAAAATTAGCTAAAGTTTTAGTTATCATGAAATATAATTAAGTTTAATTCTTTTTTGTTCAAATAAATAAGTTTAATTCATTTTTTAATTTATAAACAAAAATTAGAAACTATGTAAAATACTTTTAACAACATCCCAAAAAGTTGATTTTCTATTGTGTAGTTTTAACTTATTTTTATTTTAACATTTATTTCAAATTTAGAAACAAAGCAAAAATATGTAATTAATATTAGAAGAGAAGTCATATCTTCTTTCATGTGTGATTTTTTAATTTGGAATATCCTTATAAATTTATTAAATCTTACTTAAAATAATTATAATATCTTTTCATGTCTTTAATTTTTATTTGAAATACAAATAAATATGTTTTTATGAAAATTCTAGAAAAATCTTTTTAAAATATTTTAATATCTTTAAAAATATATTTTTGAAAATTAGTTAAAATTTTAATTATCATAAAATACACGTAAACATTTAATCCATTTTTGATTTATAATCAAAAATTAACAATTATGTAAAATACTTTTAAAATATCCAAAAGATTTGCTTCTCCATTGTGTAGTTCCAACTTAATTTAATTTCCGCATATTTTTCAAATTTAAAAGTAAAATAAAAATACGTAAATCAGTAATTTCATAGTAATGTTTTATAACATTTTTTTTTACAAAAATACAAATTTATAACTTTTACAGTATTAATATTATACCACACAAACATTACTATAAAAATAGATAACACTTCCTCTCTTTTAAAATGATCCATGTTTTAGAAAAAAAATATTTCTTAAAGTTCTATATTTTACATCTTCAATGCATAAATTTTGAAATTCAAAAATATTGATTGTGTTAATTGAATTTGGATTGGCTAAAAATTATTATAAAAAGTTAATCATAAAAACTAATACATTTATTTTCATGTTTTTAATACGTGTAATAATGCTAAAACATATATTCTTCTGAAAAAGATGGAATATAACATCCATGGACATAGACTATATATAAGTTTTTTAAAATTATATATGAATAATCACATTTTTTAGATCATAGGTAGTTATTTTAAAATGATATTTTTATAATACATTTTGAAAACACACATCAGTATCAGAAAAACATCTTAATTATAAAAAGACATTTATTACATATTTATAAATAACTGTTTACAAAAATAAACTAATATCATCTATATTTTTAAAAGAGAAGTACCCATATAAAATACCCCTGAGTTTTTCTAATTATTTACAATGTTATGCCACTGAAGTTATTAATTATCCTACCTTATAGGATTCTTTGTCTTTTCACATTAATTAATGCATTTCCAAAATCAAATTTTAACTAAAAAAATTATGGCAACAATAATTAATGAAAATAATTATTTTCATATATACCTTTCGTAATTAAATAAATAAATTATATAGAAATTTTTTTACAAATTCCATATACATAATAATTAATTCTAATATTAATTAACCTACCTTTTAGGATTTTTTTCATATTAATTATCTACATATCTTTAAATAGTTAATGAACAATATTTTTTTCAAAGATATATAATTATATTTTTATTATTTATAAGTAATAACTAAAATAAAAGTCAGAAAAAGAAACATTTATATAATATATAATGAAAATATTAATATAAACATATCATGTTATGTATATTTTTATATAAATAATAGTTCAAGGTAAATTCAGAATAATAAAAGTTAAAAAGTAGAAATATATAGGACCATATATTTTAAATAGTAAATAAAACAATTTAGTTATACATTATCATAAAATTTTGATCCATAAAAATAAAATAAAAACATTTGTGCAGATATACGGGTCATATTTTTAAAATAAGTATGACACAATGATAGTTTATAAGATAAAATAAAATTACTCAATATAAACTATAAAATTGTGTGTTTAAAATGTCATTTTNTCCATAAAAATAAAATAAAAACATTTGTGCAGATATACGGGTCATATTTTTAAAATAAGTATGACACAATGATAGTTTATAAGATAAAATAAAATTACTCAATATAAACTATAAAATTGTGTGTTTAAAATGTCATTTTAAACAATTATTTAAACGGGTAAATTTAGAAATATATATTATCACTTATAAAATATATAAACGCAAACACTTGTGCGGATCAAACAGCAAATTTTCGGTATTCTTCTGTCAAAATTAAACCCATAAGTAATTTGTAACCATTTAATTGATACTTCGTTTTTTATTTTACATCATTTAGTATAAATCTAAAAAATAAAAGAAAACAAAACACCCGCCCGGTCATGGTCTAGTGTCTTTTACAATAGATAGACATGACTCTTTACCCTAACTGATTTAAAATAATGAAATCACACATCTTTTGGATATAAAAATACATTCATATAAAAATATGTCTTTACGCAGTTACCTGTTCATTGTTTCGTTTTATATTTTTGACAATTCAAACACAAATAACCCTTTCTATTATCTTTTGTTGACAACAATTCATTTTACTCTTCTAAAAATTTCTAACCAGGTGACTGCATATAACTTTCTTTCTTCGCCATTTTTATTGGATTAGTGAATATTTTACTTTGAGAAACTTATGAACATACCCTATTTATAGATTTTCAAAGATTTAAATGAACAATTCCATCTTTTCAATTTATAGGTATATATTTTAAAATGATATTTTTACAATATATTTTGAATAGAAACGCCATTATGAAAACATAGTGAATAGTCACATCTTTTCAATTTATAGGTAGTTATTTTAAAATGATACTTTAACAAATATATTTTGAATAAACACAAGTTTTCACCTTAATCGGAGTTGATAACTTTTCACACTAATTGAGATTATTATTATTAATAGATTACTAAATGGAAGATGCTGACAGTAAAGAGACTAAAGAAGAAGGAAGAGTAGCCATCCAACCATCTCCATCAATGAAAGTTTTAGGGTTTATAAGAAAGCAAGTTCTCTTTTAGAAATATTCTTCTTCCATTCAACTCTTTTTTGCGTATTCGCTCCTTCTCCCCTGCACTTTACCTCCGCAAATGTGATTTTATCCCTGATTTCATTTGTTTGTAATTCCACGATTATCATTATATGTTTGCCACATATGCAACAAAAGAACATTATATACATAATAAAATAGAAGTATACGTACTCGTGGCCTTTATAAGACCAAGCATCCCATCCTAGCGGAACAATAGATTTGGACATGCTGGTTGCATAAAAGACAACTCTAGAGTAGCTTCGGTAAGCTCTTCCCAAGGACGCCGTACCATCTCCTTTAATCACGCAATATTTGAACACAAATCCACTTGTGTCTTGCTCGCTTTGCCTCCCTTGCGCGGTTATGTATCCCGGTAATGTTGCTACGCTTTGCACCATTTCATTTGTCACTCCTTTAACGTATATCACGCATTTCTGCATCGACAAACAAAATACGTTCTCATATATATTAATTCCTTTGATTATTGTGCGGCCGATAGGGTCCAAATATCTTTAGGACAATATTCAAAACATCTCTACATATACGTAACCAAAATTTATGAAAGATAAGTATGCAATTACTTCGTATATAGATTGGCCTCCTCCCCATATAAAATCAATGGCTCCTTCGATGTAACAGTTTTTGAAGTAGTGACGGCCGGCAAAGTCAGCCAGTGTGTCTTGGACACTGATGAAGCGGCAGCCATAGAACGACGCCTTGTCCGCGGTTAGTATAATTGCTGGAGCTACCTTTATCTTTTTATATGGTACTAGTGATATTATATTGTTATAAGAATTCTGCGCAAACAAAATACCCGTTCAACAATATTATAAAATAATTATTTCAAAGGATATCCACACACGTATGAAAACTAATCCAAATAATCTCCACAAAAAAATGAAACGAGGTTATGTACGAAAATAATTAACAGAGCTTGAATTAATCAGTATTATATAAACATGAATTTTGATAGCAACTATATATATATAAACGTTGACCTTGAATGTAACATTGATCGCAACGAAGTACTCAGCGCTAACGGAGATCGGACCACTCGTATTGGCTAGTCCTGCATCATTATATTCAATTATCACTTCTGATGGGTTGTTTCCCTGCATTATTATCTTTTGTTTCTCCCTCGGAATCACTATCTTTTCGCTGCATCAACACGGTACATATGTATTGGTAAACTCAACAAGTAGATTCCGTTTAGAAGAAGGAAAAAAAAAAGAAAGAATATGATTACTTGATTCTTCGTGTATTGCATTTCATAAACTACATGCATGTGATAAAAGAAGAAAGAGTGAAGTTGAAAGCTTACAAGTAGATTCCGTTTTGAAGTTGAATCTTAATCCAGTTATTGTTACCAGAGGGAATGGAGTCGATGGCTGATTGGATGGTTTTGAAGTCACCACTTTGACCAACCACCACTGTCTTTACTATATCAATGTTGAAATCTTTTGGTGGCTTGTGTTCTAAACCGTGAGGAGAAACACGTGATGAACTAGCCATCAAATACAAAAATGATAGACCCAAAATACAAATAAGAAATTCCATTCGTTAAAGCAAAAGTTAGCTCTTTTAAGACACAACTGGGAAATTTCAACTTATTTTTTTTTCTTCTTATGTTTCTCTAAACTTGATTTAAACGTCTATTTATTTATGCACACTTCAAAACATGTCCACTTCAAATGTACATAATTTCAGGTATGGTATAAAAATCTGTTAATTCTTATTTTTTTTAAGTAAAAGAAAGTAAATATCTACAAGTTGACCAATTTAAATATCAATACTATTAAAACCGAATCTTAATTTTGGATATAATATTTATTTTGTAAATTAATTAAATATATATATTTTTTATTTTATAGTTAAATCTATCTTAAATCACCAATACCCATTTTTGTATCCTTATCCATGTCTCAAACAACATCAATATTATTAAAACAGAATCCTACCTTTAGAGCTAACCTTTATTTTGTAAAACTAAATCTATTTTCCTACTTTATAGTTAAATCTACTTTAAATCTAATACTCATTTCTTTATCCTTATCCATGCCTCAAACAACATTATACTTAATTTTCTGTCCAAATAATATAAAATATTAGATCTCATCATTTAATAATTTTCTTTCAAACTATTTTGATAAATTAAATAACTCAAAAAATTCAAATAACTTATAACAACAACCAAATTAAACAGACTTATTTTGCAGGTTTAGATACTGCAAAATATATCAATCAATAACAAATCAATTAAATTTACGGATTAATTTATTTATATTTCATAAATAATGGTTATATCATTTATTTACATAACTTAATAATCAATAATAACTATTACATATAATATATATATAACACTATACATTGAAAATAATTACATTGTACATTAAATATAATAGCAAAAATAATTATGAAAATGTTCAAAAATATATTATCTGAAGAAAAGAATATTTAACACTAATTGTAAACAATAGATTTAAACTGATTATAATATGACCAAATTATTAGAAAAATAAATTATAATGAACTTAATTAAGCTATGCAAAAAAAGAGCAATATGATCAAGACATATTTATAGTTCTTAATTATTTTATATCTATCATTTTATCTATAAAAATTTTGTTGAAAAGTCATACTTTCATAAAATTGCAAAACAAAAAAACTTTAAAATTTGGATGAAAAGGTGACAAATTATGAAATTGTAACAATATAAATCAAATTGGATTATATATTAGTCATCAATATGTTCAATCGGTTTGTCTCGGATTTTTGGATTTTTTTACAGATTTTACATATGAATATTTTTTAAAGCCTTATCCAATAATTTGGATCACTGGATTAACTTGTTTAACCGTGGGTCCGAGACAATAATAAAACCACTGATTTAAATATAAAAATATTTTAAATACACAAAATTCTTATAAATTAACAAAATATTTATTAGTGAAAATTTTCATCATATAATATTGAGAAAATGACTAGAATAGATCTAAAAAAATTTTTTGTCACAAATATAGATCTTAACAATTAAAATGACCAAAATAGCAATTAAATATTTTATTAAATATACATTTATACTCCTTGGGTTAATTAATCCTAGATTTTTTTGTTTAGAGTTGAGAAGTGGGTTTTTGGGAATAGGGTTTCAAATTTTAAAATATAGAAAAAACTTAAAATTTTCAAAATAAAAAGTGTTATTTAGGTCATTTTAATTTTTGAGGTCTATGTTTATGATAAAAACTTAAAAAGAGTTATTTGAGAGAATTGTCCTATAATATTTCGTGCTTACAAAGCACTGATCTGTAAGCACTGATCAAGGTATAGTTTATTATTTAAAGTACATACACTATAGCAACACCAAATTCAAAGATACTACCCACGAAATGAGTTTCTTTATATATTCATGCACAAATATACAAGTAAATACTTATGTAACAATAATCAGGAGAATTTAGTGCATCTTAGTTTTTATACGAAGCTTCAAAATTCCACTAAAAATTAAACTTAAACTTATAATAACTTGGTTGGAAATGGTTGCAATGGGATGGAAAGGAAAGCTGCTAGACTCAGTATATTTCTGGAAGATCAAACATAGTTTATGTAGATGCTTAATTCAAAATGCGTAGTTTTTTTTGTAACCATATATTGGTGAAATAGTTATAGAATTTAGTTTCTTAACGATGCAAAACAATTTTTTAAAGTTTAACGGATCTGTATTACGAGAAGATCTTTAACTTCAAGACTTCTGAAAAATAACAAAAATTACATTTTTGTTTGGAATGTTTGGTACATTTGGAAAGTCTAGAAATGATTAGATTTTTTTTTGTGCTCCAATCTTGATCCACAAGAAACTTTAAGAGATAGCGGCAATGTGATACAACATAGCAGATAAAAGTATGTTCAGTTAAAAAAAACTTAATGTAAACCGTATCATTCATTCAAAACAAAAAATCACATTAGATTTTAAAACTGGATATCAAAGAAGCAAAAGAAAAGCAGATACGACTGCTTAAATAGACCAGAGTCACCAGACTAAACTTAGATGCTCAAACATAATTGAAAAAGATAGGTCAAAATAGAAAAGATCTATATATATATATATATATATATATATATATATAGTTGTAAAATGTATGGGTAAGGTAGCTTATTGAGTACGCAGCTTCCAGAGGAATCCAAAATTCACCCTATTTTCACATTTCCCAGCTCAAACCGGTACCTGGGACTCCGTCTCAGGTCACACCACTTCCTCAATTGTTTTCTGCTCAAGGATACTTCGTCTTGTTTCCTAAGAAAGTGCTTGATACTCGTTATTCACCAGCTGGTTGTTCAGAGGTCCTTACACAGTGGGTTGGATTGCCTTCTTATGAGTCTACATGGTCGTTGGGTTGGGATATCGTACAAAAGCAGTGGCGGAGCCAGAAAATATTTATACTGTGGTCGTAGTTTAAATTAATTAAACTAATATTTACATATACATATATATTTACATATTTTTGCTAATATTTATATAAAATAATTTTTTAATATTAATTTAAAGTATTTGGAACATAAACTATTAAGCTGTTTTAATTTTGAGGAGAAATTATATTTGAAACTAAAAGTATTGAAGATATTCAAAACTTAATTGTTAAATAAAGTCTAAAAAAAGTGAAATGTGAACTAAATAAATTACAAAACAACTGAAAGAAAAAAACATGACAAAATAGTGATATTCTCCAAAAGAAGTAGTTTAAAAGATTAAAAACAATGAAAACGTAAACAAACAAAAAAAAACATATTAAACATCTGAAAAGCAATCAAAAACTTGTTTAGACAATACAAACTTATATATTCATTTTTAATCGAGCTGTAAGGCCCAAATTATTTTAAAAAAAAAACTAAAATAAATTCTGAGTTGCGAAGAGGGGTGTCGATCTTGAGTAAGGGGGGTCATAGCAAAGGAATTAAACCACCAGAGCAACTATTGGTCAAGTCTTTAGGCTTAAAAACTTAGTTTTTCATATATTTGACTGGGGTCAGCTGACCCCCCCCCCCCCTCCTGACCATGTAGCTCCGCCCCTGTACAACAGTATCCGGTTTTTCAGCTTGAGAACAAGCTGCTTTTCATTGGGTAGGGTATTGATACATTGCAGCAGGTTTTACTTCAGGAAGACGATGCAGAGTGAGGGAGAGTCTTCAGGTGCTAAAGCCTCAGAGGAAGAAGAGGTCAACGCAAAGATTAAATGACTAACGAGGGAACAACGCCATGACGTGAGAAAGAGGCTTTGCGAGAATATATTGTCATTTTACAGTTTTACGTATATCACACTTGTTTTCTATTCTGTGTGTATGACGTAGGAAGAGTAGCTGAGACCTCTCCGTGATCGTTATGAGTCCGAGACAATAATAAAAAAAAACTGATTTAAATATAAAAATATATTAAATACACAAAATTCTTTTAAATTAACAAAATATTTATTAGTGAAATTTTTCGTCATATAATATTTCGTGCTTACAAAGCACTGATCAAGGTATAGTTTATTATTTAAAGTACATACACTATAGCAACACAAAATTCAAAGATACTACCCACGAAATGAGTTTCTTTATATATACATGCACAAATATACAAGTAAATACTTATGTAACAATAATCAGGAGAATTTAGTGCATCTTAGTTTTTATACGAAGCTTCAAAATCCACTAAAAATTAAACTTAAACTTATAATAACTTGGTTGGAAATGGTTGCAATGGGATGGAAAGGAAAGCTGCTAGACTCAGTATATTTCTGGAAGATCAAACATAGTTTATGTAGATGCTTTATTTAAAATGCGTAGTTTTTTTGTAACCATAAATTGGTGAAATAGTTATAGAATTTAGTTTCTTAACGATGCAAAACAATTTCTTAAGTTTAACGGATCTGTATTACGAGAAGATCTTTAACTTCAAGACTTCTGAAAAATAACAAAAATTACATTTTTGTTTGGAATGCTTAGTACATTTAGAAAGTCTAGAAATGATTAGATTTTTTTTTGTGCTCCAATCTTGATCCACAAGAAACTTTAAGAGATAGCGGCAATGTGATACAACATAGCAGATAAAAGTATGTTCAGTTAAAAAAAGCTTAATGTAAACTGTATCATTCATGCAAAAACAAATCACATTAAATTTTAAAACTGAATATCGAAGAAGAAAAAAAAATGCAGATACGACTGCTTAAATAGACCAGACTAAACTTAGATGCTCAAACATAATTGAAAAAGATAGGTCAAAATAGAAAAGATCTATATATATAGTTGTAGAATGTGTGGGTAAGGTAGCTTATTGAGTGCAGCTTCCAGAGGAATCCAAAATTCACCCTATTTTCACATTTCCCAGCTCAAACCGGTACTTGGAACACCGTCTCAGTTCACACCACTTCCTCAATTTGTTTTCCGCTCAAGGATATTTCGTCTTGTTTCCTAAGAAAGTGCTTGATACTCGCTATTCACCAGCTGGTTGTTCAGAGGTCCTTACACAGTGG